GATACACCATGATATCAACTTTTACATTGAACCTAAAATAATGATCAAAAAGTTGGTAAAGTTTCTTCTTGACGGCAAGTTCTCTCTCTTATACGGACATCGCCAAAGTGGCAAGTCAACTACTGCTTATGCAGTAAAAGAGTGGCTTGAAAACGAATACGATAAGGAAGTTTACATCATTACTTTTTCCAGCGGCATCGTGACCGATGAAGGACTCAATGAATTCTGGCATTCCGTATGCGCTAAAATACAAAGTTTGAACGCGAACCGGTTCAAATATAATGTATTTGATAAGTTCGCTCAGACATCGGTATCATCGAATACATTTGAGAGTTTATTCTCGAAACATAATAATCCCTCGGCAAAGGATTGCATTATCATTATTGATGAGGCTTCGTATCTTGCTGGCAATCAAAAAATTACTGAGAGTTTCATCAGCTCATTGCGAGTTTTAAAGGATGGACGTGGTCAGTTCAACGTGTTTTCTTTCATGCTCGTTGGCACCGAAATCATTAGGGAGTTCCTTCTCAGCCATCAACGACCTGATTCTGTGTCAATTATTTCGCCTTTTTCTGATGAGGCAAGCATGGTATCATCCTGTTTTAGTGAAGTAGAGATTTCGATGCTTCTCTTTCAGTATTCTGCAGAGAATAACTTTACTATACATATAAAACATATCGCTGAGGATATCTATTATCTCACTCTTGGACATAAGGGTCTTGTTGGTCTCTGCTGCTCTTTTCTTGAGACCCAAATTATGCAAGGCAAGAATAAATTAACGATTGATGAATGGAATGAGGCGACTTATGGACTACCCGAATTCATAAGAGGGAAGGCAACATATGAATCCATAGTTCGAACCCTCCCTAGTCTATCAGAAGAACGAAAACGAATCCTTGCAAAGGTCCTTCGTTCTAAATCTGATGTAGTTTCTCATGTGAGTACATTCACTTACGGATTGCAGTATTCGATCCATTATATTATTATTCAACCTTTTTCTTTTTTGGTAAAGGATAATCCTAATGTGAAATTCCTTCTCGCGGAAGGAATGATTGTTGTTGAAAGAAAGCTGGTCAATGAAGAAGTGTTAATCCGGTGTGCCGCACCTATCCTTCGTAATGTCATTATTTATCAAATATTAGGGCCTAGTATCGACCTATCCAAGAGCCCCAAACCGGATAATGCTCGAACAATCGATGCTAAATGGATGCTGGAGCGCACTATTGAGGTAGATGATTATTCTGAATTATTTTTTTTTTTGTTGCAATGAAACAATGTGCATACATTCAGTTTACTAAGTGCTTCTTTTCATATAGAACCTATCCCTCCAGCATATATTCACTGACAAAACCAGCAATTCTAGTGGTGAGCCGTCTGAGTACGCTTTCCAAGCCGAATTCATCACTGTTATGAAGAATCTGCTTTCTGCGGCCTATCCGAAACTTCTTTACCGGGTGCTTCCTGAGGTAAAGGAGTATGATGATGATAATGGTAACCGCCGTCAGCGCTTAGACATTCTCATTAAGGATAGCATGTGGATGGAATCTTTTGGCTTTGAGCTCGTTGTTGGAGCAAGTCTGAAGGTTTTTAATGAACACTGCGAGCGCTCCAAAAAATATGCTCAACTTCATCAATGTTCCATGCTCATGGTGAACATTTGTATCGATAAAAAGCTTATTAATCACTTTGGGCCAGATTATGAAAATGTAACTACTGTGCATGTAGTCTATGATGAAAGTAATGGACGTGCAGAGTTGGTATATAAAGATAGGAAAGTGAGTTTATCGATCCTGAATGCTTCATGGCAAGATATATTTTTTAAATCTTTTAATTGATTTTATATGGAAATAATAATTTTTCGTTATGTTGTTAGAGGAAGGTGAATAAGCTAAAAATCAAAAAAAAAAATATATATAGATCTCTTTACAACCCAGAATCAAAATATTAAAATACAATATTTTAGCAGTGACCAAAATGCCTGTTTGTTTGTTTCTGATGTGTACTGCATTGTGGCGTGTTTGCATGCGAATTGGAATATATCTGAAAGTTTGAATTTTCAAAGACTAGCTCAATAATATCTACAATAGCGAAAAGTCGAAACTAACCAATGAATCGAGAAGAAAAATAAAATACTTGTACCGGTATTAAATTATCGCAGTTTGAAACTTCGTCATGTGACATCGATCACCTGAAATGCGCAGTACGATATCGGGAAAATTCTTGCCGGGGGGTATATATTTCGCATTAAAAGTCGATTTGCAAATGCTTGTATAAAAGTGTTATGGAATCCGAGCTTGACTTAGAAAAGAAAATGCCAAACTTATGGCTAAGATAACCGGGCTCGAGCTCGAGAAGGTTGAAGAAATTCTGAGCTTAGAGAAAGAAGCGGTTTAATAAAAAACTTATTATCTGTATCGCGAAAAACGTGATCATGTCTCGTGGCTATGTACCCGAACTTTATATTTATAGCAAAATAAAAGCTTTTAATACTACATCTAAACTCAGCTAGTGACGATAAATTTAGCCGAAGGCGCTGTGCAATATATGTCATCAATAAAACAACATTCGAATATAGTCAGTTTTGTTGGCAATCATTTGCATATAGGATTTGGGGATGTGTATGTAACCCTTCGACCATCTTTATTGATTTGCAAGGAGATGGTCCCAGAGGTTATCGATTTTTAATTTTTTTTTCAACTCTATAGACGTCCAAAACCAAATCATGATCAGCATGTTCAATTTCTTAGACTAGTGTTCCGCATTTGATTCAGATTTTTCCGGGAAGTGGGGTGGAAATTCGGCATTGATCCGGACAGAGGGATTGGTGTGATGCGATCATACTTGCCGATTTCAAGAGGTAAGCACGCTGTGATTCGGACGATAATTATGATATTGGATCATGGGTATAGGTTGGTTATAAGGTAAGATAAGTTAGTTATTATTTTTTCGTTGATTGATTCATACATAAATTCTAATAACTGGTTGGAATTCAAATCGATCATTACTGGATTTGTGCAAAAGAAAATATGAAGCGGAAAAATAATTTCCGTGTTGATTTATGGTTCATCATCCGCATCATTGAATGTACATTCTCAAAGATTCAGGAAAGATATCATCACTTTGCTAATCGATTTTTCACGGCTTTATAGATCTACA